CAATTTTAAATATGTGCTAAAGGAACTAAAGGGAAAACAGGAGAAAAAGTGAAACGGATTAGTTAGCATGTAAGAGATAGCTATCAGTTTCATTTAACTGATCAGGCGTTTGCAGTTAGTACTTATTATTTGAAGTTCCAACTATCTTATTTCTTCTATAATTTTAGACATGGAATTCTTGATGAGTGGCTACACATAATTACGTGAAATGTCATAAGTCCATGAATCTGCACTGCGCAGTTAAATTTCGCTACCGAACAAATAACTACTATCCAAAGATAGTCAACAATGAAGAACTAAGCTTGGTGGTTTAGGAGAGAGACTATATATTTATTACGAAAGCTGTTAATGGTAATAGCCAATACTTTGCAAAACGCACTGAACCTACTTGACTAGAGCCTGTAAGCTTTTTGTCAAAATACATTTGAAACGTATCCCGATATATGGTGAATTGTTAGATTCGCGGACTCCCGGAGCGATCCTAGCACGACGGCCTCATAATGAACGGACGCTAGAACAGCTCTGGATACCTCATCGAACTCAATCTAGCAGTATGCAGCTTGGTATCTTCTTTCGTTTTTCTTCATTGAGCTCTTCATTCAGAGAGGACGGCGTTTGTTAAATATTCTGATATACCAATACATATATATATCACGAATACAGGACTAATAAGGGAATATGATGGGCACACCGTTACAGCTATCTAATAATGTTCTGGGCCACGCTCGCAGTACGTGCCATGGCGTTAAATAACGCCTTGCCTTAGCCTCAAGAGGTCGTATTGCTTTCCAGATACCACTCGTGGACTATGCTGAGAGGAGTTCCGAGACAGGAATCGGTGCACGATGCTTTTTTTCTGATCCTTCAAACATGTAGGACTCTTTCCGCCTTTTTTGCTAGATAATATGCAGAGACTCTTTTCTGTTACCCAGTAATGTTCAGTATCGTATCGAACCTACTTCGAACCACAGTATCAATTAGACCCGACAACCTGCACAAGGTCCAAACGAATTAACAGATTCATTTTTCAGCGCAATGGCCAATTAATTCAAAGTACGTCATCTAATGTTCCACACTTTTTTTAAAAGGTGCTAATGGCTTTTTATGCTAAAGCTCACTAATTCAGCCTTCGGGCTAAAACGGCAGCGCTCAACAAAGTAAAGAAAAAGTGAAGCTATTAAGCAAACAGGATCATCCTAACCGAAGAGTATCTTTGGATCAAAGTCTGTATCAATCGATCAATCGATGTAGCTGAAGCCAATAGCACGGCAAATTTCGGGGTCGTGACGTTTTAATGTTTGGATGTAAAAAGGAAAAAGGTTACGATGGAGGTCCGTTTTGAATGACCACAGGTTGCTCAGGTAATACATCTAATCGTTTTTAGCGCGTCTTTATTTGTGGAAGATGCAATTGAACAAGAAAAATAAAAGAATCATCGGGCAAAAAAGCGCAATATAATATAAATTATCTGCGTTATAGTCAGACAGGGGCCGAAAGCCAAGCATCTGTGAAGATTATAGCAGTGCACATAAAATTTCTATTGTATTTATATCACTCACGGTGGCAAATGAGTTTTGGTAGCAAGAATATCATAGGTTGCCTCCATCATAAAAACGAATTAAGGCATAGTCAGGACTCTTCACCGCTTTACTGCGGCGGTCGTTAGGGACAAGAATGTCATTTGTGATGTGAGCCGTGACCGACGCAACAGCCTTACGTCTTGTGAGCGATTCTTTCTCGTAGATGTTGCGACAACTACAAATAGCGTGAGATGAGAGACGCTCCTACGTTTCATGAAGATTTCTAATGCGCGAGCAAGAGGGATCTTAAATTACGAGGTTAGGTATAACGAGCCCGACAGCTAAGAGACATGTCCAATCATATCTTTCGCTTTTTGCTTCATTCCCGGCCCTTCTACGTTACTTTTTTGAATCGCCGGTGGCGTTTGTATTGTATCGAGCTGTTGAGGCTACGCAGGTTATTGAGCTTTCGAATTTTCTGTCTTCTTGCTCCTATTCATCTTCGACGATCTTTACCCTTCGTTTTTGGACTAGCGCCGCTACTACCGCGGCCAACTAGATGCATTGACAACAACATCTGCCCTCTCTGATCTTTTTTCAATGCTTTTCTGTTCCCCGTTTCTCCCAGACGATCCCGACGCATACCCGCTTTCTTCGACTGTGTGTGAAAAAAAGTATGCGCGAATCTCACTATTTACGATAGTCTCCGCGATGGTAAGAATGTAGGGCTGGAAGAAGTATAAAGAAGGTCATGTTGGCGATCATTATGGTAGAGAAAACGCGACAAAGACCAAAGATAGCAACGGCAGTGATGAGGGTGAAAGAGGTGCAGGGACCTGGTGCTGGAAAGTGCAGCTAACGCGCAGCCCGTGCCAGTGCAACGACAGAAGTATGGCCAGCGGCAGCATAAGAAAGTTTCGCAGTACATCAGTTACTAACACCCTGTTCTCGTCCTTCGCCCTTCTGTCTGTCTGTCTGACGCTTTGCTGCCGATGCCTTTTTTTAGTGCTCTCTCATAGTCGATATTTTGTTCCGGGCTCCTCCCGCTTGCCCTCGCATCCTCACTGATTATATCTACTTGAGTCTGTTTACCTACGAGCGATGCGGTATTATATTTTGACATATAAGCCTGAAAGCAGTGAACGCACCGGCAGTAGCACGCAGAATTACGTAGTATGCCGAAGGTAACCGCTTTCTCTAAATTGGTTCTTTCGACTCGGTGGGACGAGACACGTCTGGGTGAACCATCAAACAGATGAGGCACTAGGGAGTCGGGCAACTTCCCCGCTTCACAACAACTTATCCAAAATGTAAACCGCCCGCGAGCTGTCTTGCCCGCCGCTGGTCTGATATGTAAATGCGTGTGTAAACGAAACTGAAATCTAAAGCATTGAAACCAATTCGTGTTCCGTGCTGGGGATGCAGTATATGAAAAAGTATTTGGATGTTAGTAGCGTTTATGTGTGTACCACTGCAAATTGTTATAGGGAAATTAACGGTGAAGATCCGTGACGGATCATGGATGACAAAATAACGAAATCGTTACGGCGCAACTACTCCCCTTAGCATCTAACTAGTTACCATGGTGACGGAATGCGCTGAAGTGAGCATCGGGTCGTACAGCGCATTTTGGGCCTAGTGATTATCAGGCGTATGTAAAGTAACGGCTCGTGTGGCTTACCTGGCCAACTAGGGAAACTAGTTGCGTAAAATAAGGTAGCGTGCATGACAATGGCAAGTTAGCATAATATTTGCCCGTTATAGTCCCTTTCTATTCCAGCAGCAGCGGTAGTCATTTTCATAGATTTTTCTCTTAAATAGAAGAACAGCTGTTTCCCCAAAGACTTTATATATATATATATATATCTTGTGTAATAAGTCGATGGGTTTCTAGCTGATAGCGTTCCCGTAGACAACGACGCTTTCAAATCGTTCTTATGTCTGTACGATTTACACTGGAAGCAGCCATCTTCAGCTACAAGTGATTCTTAAAGTTACTTTACGCGCCGCTAGTGGTCAGTTGTAGCACTACCTGTCTTAGATGAAATTTGTCACATTAGTTAGCAGAGGAACTATACTCAGCAGGCGATATCATGATCCTAATTCTAATAATTTTTGTGAACAGATTACGGGTGTTTGATTGCAGCTCGTTTTCAAGAAATTTTTTTAATGATAGCAGCCGTTTTAAAGGTATGCTCTCCAGCAATCCGTCAACATGATATTTGCATTACATAAACCAAAGCCAAGAGCGATTATGGCCCTACAGTCGATATGCGCGTAGGAGTATCTTCATATGCTTATTCCACAATAGCGGCTGCTGCGTATGGGGTCGGCTGATGATGCCGTCTCGATAGCGAATACGGTAGTAAATAGATAATCACCGTTTCACACAAACCGACTGCATCGGAAATCGGTAAAGCGGGGCTTTCAAATTTTATATTGATGGGACAATGATGAAGGGTCTTCGTTCTTCACCTGCGTATATTTCTCATTGCCAATATAGAACATGGGTTAAAGAAATTATCTAGGCTCAAGGTCCGATGAAACTCAAAATAAAGCTGTCGGCAGCTGACCCCGATCTATTTTTGATTTGTATGTTAGCTAAAACAAAACACCGGGGAAAACCCGTCGAGGTAAATTGGTCGTGCCGCATCATTCACAACACCGTCACTCGAAGTTAGATACAAATCGTGATTCGTATTGAAGATTCTGAGAATCTTCAGTAGCTTGAGCCTGTCGACAGGTAACGCGTCAAAGTAGTTAATGGACCAGTAAAATTTCGCTTTGATATTTGAAACATATTGTGGTAAGCAATTTGGCTATTAAATGCAAGCGAGAAACAACGGCTGGCTTTTGATTTTTATACCGGTACACTTTTTAATAGCAGTGTTACGTTTATATTATTGAATCATGTTGCTTTACAACAGGAAATAATATCTGTATAGTGCAAGCTGATTCGTTCGACACGCGACTTGCGCACCATTTGTCATGGTTACCGATAGTCTCCCTGTACCGGTAGCCGGCAAGCAAACATTAGATGACCTGGTGGCGGCCTACGACAACAGGCATGTACTGATAAACCTGTACATAAATCTGTAACACATTACACGCACGCTGATTATCTCTAGCATTGACTATCGTATCGATGGCTAGAGCAAGCTCTACTCGATTTAATAGATTCGTTCTTTTTACGGTATGCTTTTCTTACTAACGTAGGACACGTCCCTTTAAAAATGTCCGCTCGTCGAGTAACTCCTATGGGATCATGTAGTATTATTTCTGTCGCAGTAGATGTTCTGATCACAGCAAAAAACAGCGGCCTAGCTTGCTTAAATTAAACGTAACTTTTTATTTTCAAGTCCCTTCAGCATAAATAGATATTTATCATCTAGCACTGAACTGTATTATTTACAAAATTAAAGAAGATCGAGATACCACTTAGATAATAAATATAGGCGAATTTCTACAGAGGAAATTTCACGACAGTGAATCGTTGCTATGATTTCAAAATAACATCATATGGGGTCTATACTTACCCCAAATATGTACTGTTCGCCGTAGGCTGCACACTGAGAACCTGACGATTTAAAGAGGTTCTATGGAAAAACGAGATCGACTAGAAACAATTTATGTATATATATATATATATAGAACTATTATTCTCTAACTTTGTATTTATATATAGATCCTCGGAGCAGAAACCTATGTCGCTTTACTTGTCGTTATGATAGCGTACCGTTGTGGGTTCATGTTGCGATGCCATCGCCTCTTACAAGAACCCTTACAGACTGTCAATGCCCCTCGGAACTTAAACGGACTCATCTGAATCTTGACATAATGTACACCTGATTGCGGCAAACTTCTTCTGTCCTTTAAGGTCCCGTCGCGAAGCAGAATTTCGGCCACAGCCTTTCCTTAGCGGCCGTACATATGCAGCATAAAAATTATGTCCACATTACCATATTTCAGGGGTAGCTGTGGCATCAGGACATTTTGAAGCTGTGCCACGACCTTGGTCCAGTTTTTCGTGATAATTGTGTCATAGTAACATATGTTATCAGTTATCGCTGGCCTACTGTTCCCGCTCCGTGATCCATATACCTGATTCGTCTTTGGTCAATCGCGGTTGGGTTAAATTTGGTCAGACAGAAACGTTACTTACCACCTCTAGCCATCTAATTTGACTAGCGTGCAGGCGTTGCCTATTGAACACTGCTTATGGTCTGGCGGCGGCGGCGGCGGCGGCGTTGTTCATTGGTGATGTTCCTATTCATTCATCTGCTGACGTTCATTGTCAAATCTACCCCTTCACATTTTTCAGCATTAGAAGCGCATGTTAATGAGCGCGCACTGTTGATTAACAACTTATGCCTGATGATTACTGAATTCGATGTGCCCCCTGAGCTGAACAGGGCTGAATCTTACGTGCATGTGCGCGTGTTGTATGCATGGATGTATATATAAATATATATACACTCTTTGAACGTATAATGTTCAGCTAAGTATTCGTTTGTATCAATTAATTTCCCTATTAAGCTGTATTACTACGCTTTGTGTTTGTTTTTCTGTTCACACACTGGACGTCTGTTCCTGGTCCGAGCCAACGGATTCACTCGCCGAGCGGGCGAAGTCCATTTTAGCGTAATGAAGTAGCCGGCTGCGTTCGTCGTCATTGAGGTACTCCGATGATGAACAGCCGTCGGTTGAGGGCCGTTTCAATAACAGGTGCGACCTCACGACACCGCCTTCCAGCTGCGCCTCTACGCGGACCGCTCGCTCGGCCTCCTTGTCCTTATCGATGCGCTGCTGTTGCAACTGTAACTGCAACTCTTGCTGCTGCGATAAGAGTGGATGCAGCTGCTGCTGGAGGAGCATGTGCTGTTGTTTATCAATGGCGGTGTTGTCTCCAGGTGATTCATCGTCGTCGCTTCGTCCGCGATCGCGCTCCTCGGACGTCACGGATTCGTCGTTGTAGTAGGTGGAACACGTAACCACGCCGTCCTCTACATCAAGATACACCTGCAAAGGTGCCCGATAGCAAAAGTGAGGCGGATAAATGAATGTCTTGTCTAGCAGATTTTGAAATGTCCTCATTGTAGTTACTGTGTCGTGTTTAAACAAGCAATTGACAATTTGTGTTCTGTGTCACCTTTACCAAAAGAGATAAAAGGGATAACTACGCTCATATTTTGAACAATTACAAAAAAAAAAGTATGCCGTAAGTAAATTTTGCGTTTCTTTCTTCTGGGGGCCACCTTTCGAGCGACTGTGCAAACCGTGGATCTTTATCTTCTACATCCAAAGGTGTCGGTCCGTCCCTACATACTATATTGGAGGATCCACTACTTATTATTGTTATATGACTTAAAAACGTAATTTGTTCTATTGCATATAAAAGCAACTGTTTGCCAACGTCAACCGATCTTACTGTTTATGGCTGTGTAGCAACTGCGGGTTAGAATATAACAATAGTGAAAATGAACATTTTTTTAAAAAACTTACTTGACCCATTAAGCTTTCTAGTAAAGTGTATGAAAAGAGATATAGCATACACCATATTTGTCTGTTTACTTGCTCACAGCTGCTGTTTGATGGAAAAGTAATTCTAACCATGTGCACGTAGAGATAAATAGACAGAGCCTTTAAAGGCCTTGTTAAAATAGGCCAACCAAGCATTGTCGGTCGAGACGAACCCAAACCGTAGCCTAAGCTTGTACAGCTTCCTCTTTCCGAATAAATGCATAAGCTTAAGTTTCTTTGAATGTTATAAACTATGTCACCATAGCAACCTATCAGAAATGTTTTAGGCATATTTGTGCAGATTTTTAAAGAACGTAAAACCTCATAGTCACAGGAAGATTATGCATGACATGCTTGATTCTCCGACGAAATCAATTTTTGATTATTTTTCTCATATGACTAAATTTTACCTGTTTTCAATCACCCTCAATAAGGCCAGCTGTCATTTAATAAAAAAAAAAAAGTTTTCTTTCTTCGTAGAAGAGCTAGGCGGCTATAAAGGATTAAACAATGTTTTCAATGGCCTAAATCCTTTCACTACCATTTCAAAGTTTACTTTTGGTTCTAGAAAAAGCTGATCATGATCGTTTTTCTCCATCTATGGGGTTCTTACCGTCCGCCTTAAGCTTCAGATATTAAAGATCCGCTTAACATTTTTAGGAGGACTAATAGGAAAACTTAATTTCTCTATCATTTTCACTCTAATTTGTATTGGGGCATTAAAAGCGAGGGTGTATTCGGTGTATTACCTATTTGCTTATCGGAAGACCGTGTTTGCGTTGAGGGAAGTGCAGCCTTATTGCGACAGACAAATAATTATGAAACGTCTTCGACGAAAGCAAATCTGAATAGTTTTCTGAGTAGCCGCAGAAGAATGAGGGAGGAATAAGGCTTCGTTAAAGCTAGATACCTGAACTCCACGTGTCCGATATAAGTAAAGATAATATACAAATATATCGTTTTCGAGTTCGTTTCTATACAATTGCTTGGCGACTCGTAGTCCGGTTGCTGCATTGGAACGCCTTAGTCTTTTTATTTAAAGCTCAAGCTGGTACTATCGTGATACCTGCATTCTGCGTGTTTGCACGAGCTGTACGTAGTAAAATTAAAATGCCGATGATAAAATAAGCAGATACTGACTGTTGTATCCTGGAGCAGACGATCGAATTTCTGGGCGAGCACTTTGAAGGATGGTCGCTCGTTCGGATCAGTTTTCCAACAGTCTCTCATTAGGCCGTACCTGCAGGTCAAATGTGAATGTGTTTTGAAAAGAAGTAGCGGCGTGAGTTAAAAGCTGATGCAGATACGAAGTGATAAAACCTAATTAGACACTAACTCAATTGAGATGCTACCATTGTCTACAACAAGAAAAGATCATTAGGATACTTGCAATTGACTCGAGCAATGCTTGGGCTGAAACATTCGGTAGCCTTCCTTCAGAAGTTGACAAAGGAGTTCCCCGTTGATACCGGGATAGGGCGTAGCGCCCAGAGTGACGATTTCCCACAGCACAACACCGAAAGACCATCTGTCATAATATTCAAGAACAAATACATTAAATAGAAAAACATTAACAAAATACACCAAAATAAACGCGTGTTTCGTAGCTTCTTCCTGCCTAAAGTTATTATTTTTATAAAAAATCGTTGAAATTATAGAAACAACAGTTTTCCGACTCGATCGTGCTGTGATTGTGCCAGATACACAGTTTGGCATTAAGACACGTTGCTCGCAATTTTCATTAATTATTATTATTATAATTATTAATTAATTGATTAATCATTAAAATGCTTTGAGATGCATTGAGGAAAGGTTGCAAGCATTCCTGATTGTCTAGAATCGCTTGGCGAAACACAGAGACGGATGGGGTCCAACGCAATCATAATAGAAGTGGTACGTGCGTCTAAAATCACCGTAATATGCACCATCTCGTACTTTATTTTATTTTTATTTAGAATTTAGAAACAGGAATTCTTGTTGCATACATTTTATAGTATTTAACAGAAGAAACGGGGTATCGTAAGCCGAGGTAAGTATATTGTACCTTAGGCTTTAGACGTCCCTACATAAAAGGGTGGTCCCCATTATGCCATATTATATGTATATAAGCTCTGTATGGGCACGGCGTAGTACTAATAACAAGCCCTCACGCTTCCATATATAATACTATGCGTGTGCTATAAGTTACGAGCTAAACAAAACAACAGCGGCAGCAACACTAGCGGGGTGGTCGCCGATTCATATTACCATCTCATACGTACACTGTATGTATGGCAAGACTGGAGGACTCATCAAAATCAGAAAAATTCACAACCCCATAAAAGTCATTGTCAAGAACTGTTGTTTCTGCCGCTGCCCCCACTATTGTTTTTGATATCGGCTGTCATAACAGTGAGGATGCTAGCCGTTGTCGCTGCCCCCGTTGGAGGTTGCGGTCCATGTATGACAGAATAGCAACGTCCCATTCTGATGAAACTCCACCCAGAATCCCGTTACACAAAATTACTATCATACAGAGAGAGAAACTTTCACGTAGGCCATGGTCTATATACGGATACGATGTATATTGGTAAACCGAAAACAACACACATTCACCTATCGTGTGAGAAAAATCGCAGAAAAGACAAAAGTCAGGAGAGAGGCAAACTTCAAATAACACGTATTAGCCGGTTACACGCACATAACCATAGTGGAGATTCAAATTGGTAACATCATTCTTAGGTTTAGTTCATCCAATGGATTTACTTGTTACGTGTATAGGAAGGACAACCTGACAAAGCATAGCAGACGTTTTCTAGCATTTTCAAACTTGTCTGTCTAAATTTTCATTTCTGACAGTAGTGAAATTCAGATCAAGTGAAACCCACTGTTTCTAATTTATTGGAGGCATCTGTGCATATTTAAGGTAAATATGGTTCACACATTGTCGACATTTCTAACCTTTTAAAAAAGCAAAAAAATACATACATCTTTAACATGCCCGCATAACTTAACCGTAATGTTTTCAGACAGTAGTGTCCTGTAGTCAAACAAACATTTTCGACGTTCCCATGGAATGTGGGTCGAAAATTCATAACTAACTTAGCCTAAGCTGGAAACTAAACCTCAAGTTCCTTGGGGGCAATTCATATTGATATGGTCGACATTATGCTATCTATACGAAGAGCCGTAAAAAGCCGTCGATTACCTGGTAAGTACTGCAATGGGTCATCGTTCTAATTTATCGCGCCGATGTGCGACTTGTGTGTTTTCTTATACTGAGAATATTATACACATTTTGCAAGTATTTGAAAAAAATAAATTCTATTCGTCCTATAAATGTGTCGACTGTAAGCATTTAGGCCACTAAAATACCTTTCTTCAAAAAGGACGAAATGAACCACAGATCTTATTGAATTTTATAAGGTATATGAGCTCGAGGCTGCCGAAAAGCTGGAGGCATTTAAAGGTGAGCTGCTTACGCCTTACACATCTCCAAAGAAAATTATTTGTTAAAAACATGTCTTATAGTAAGCTCTATTCGATACATACTGCCAAATAAAGTTACGGATATAGACAAACAGTTGTGTATGCTTTTTTGTTATTACAAATGATTATCACCTATAAATGCACTCAGTCAATCATCCTCGTTTACGTTGAAAGTCTGCTGGTGTCACACGCTTATACTGTTTGTTTGCTTGTGTATATGGTACTCCCTACAAGCTGAAACTTCTAAGCTTATCAGCTTTTGGTTGTACCTTAATTCGGTTAATGGCATGGCCTAGAAGTCGCGCTACATTTAAATGACTAAGGTGCATATACTCGTTAACATCGAAAGTGTGCCAGCAGCAACAAACTCATAGAGTTTGCTATCTTGTGAGGATTTACATTAGAAAGTCCTTAAGTTTGTCGATTTTGTTTGCCTACCGGCAAATACTCATTGCTGATTTAGTTTCCTGCCTGAAGGCTCTGAAGACACGCTTACTTATTATTGGCAATTAAAGTACGTGCTACACGTTAAGGAATAGTTATTTGCTTTCTTATAACTTTTTATAACTTATAACTTTACGATAAGGATAATCATCGATTTGAGAAAGTATGCTTCGTAAGTCATATTTAAGGAAGCTACTGATCCTCAAACGAATGTACGATTAAAACTGAGACCTACCTATAGCGGGCTCGAGTAGCACTAATATTGAAACAGAATATACTATACAGACATTAAATATGAGAAAAGACTATTTCGCCCACTCAGTCGCTAAGGGACGGAGCATCTACCTAAAAGTACACCTTTTCAACTTCAGAACTGAACTTTAAAAAGGCTTAAAATCCACTGATTTACATCACAATAACAAGAATACGTTCTTACTGCCAGGCTAGGGGTTCGGTTGAATGCTAAAATCCTTAACATCCACTTACACGTCGCTCTTGGTCGTGTAAATTTGATCCTCGAGCGACTCGAGGGCCATCCACTTGACAGGAACCTTTTGTCTGCTGCGCTTCAAGTACGTATCGCCTTCATACACATCCCGCGAGAGTCCGAAGTCCGAAATCTTGATCACATTGTCTGTTAGAAAGAGGTGACCGACGACAGCGAGAAAATTGGGCGGCGGGACAAATCGAGAGGTTGGGCGGTGGAAGCAGCGGCGGCGAGTAAAGCGTGTCAGGAAGAAAGAAGACGAAAGCACATCGTAATATCTCGACGCGTGTGTGGGCCGATCTTATCTGTGTACAAATTTCAATAAATGGATCTCGAAACCCAACCGACGATGCCGGCGTCATCTCTCTTGGCCATTCTACCTAACATAAATATTACAACATAATTTGAATTTATTTCGAATAGGCCGTTGGTGGCGTGCCTGAGTCCCAAGGGTACAAACCCCGTGCTAGCTAACTATATCGCACCAGATAGGATCACGTCAGAAGTGGGAGTCGGACACGATGACTTTGATGACGATACTTGTACTATACTCCAATCTGCTCCGATTGCGGGACCTTATTTGTCACTATGTTGATGGTCATATTTATAGATTCTGCGCCCTGACCTACGCCTAGGCCTTTCGCTGCCCTATGTAAGAAGAGAAAAGGCTAGATCATAAAGAAGTCTCGAAGAAAGGAAGAGGGGTTCGGTCGTTTCGTAGGATCATATGCAATAGCATATTGCTCATATCTTAGGCCAAATGACCTGCTCTAAGGTGGAAAGTGTCCAGCCTCGACTGTGGACTCCACTTTTCTGTGGATATCTTTTCGCTAGATGCAACCCGTAGTTACTGAACAACAAGGTAAGGCTACAACAGGATGAAGGTATTGGAAAAAAAACGTGAGGCGCAGACGCGAGCTAAGTATAGACCGCGCCAGTTGAACATGATTTAACAACTAGAGTAATACTGCCCATTACGAGGAAAGTACGAAAGTCTATGAAATAGCCTAGACGTACGTTTCTATTATTGCGTACGTCAGTTTTTTTTTTTTATAAAAACTTTGCAGCAATTATGAATCCCTATTCGTGTCGCGCAGATAAAGATGGCACTTTTATTTGAAACCGCTAAGCGATTTTAAAAAAATTCGTACTTTAATCAATGTATGTAGACGGCTGTACGCGTAAAGTTCTCTTTAGGTATTATAATAATATGTAACGGTTTTAATACCCAGCCAAAAATCTGTTCATCTAAATGGCTACCTTATTTATAAATAACTACATAGTGACTATTAACTGACCTCTGGCGACGAGGATGTTTCGTGTCGCGAGGTCCCTGTGGATTACTTTCATGTCTGACAGGTAGCCCATACCCCGAGCAATTTGCCACATAAACGAAATGAGCTGCTGCGTCGCCGGCAACTGAGTTCGAGGATCTTCCCCTAAATAGGTAGGATTCTGTACTGCGCGCAGATCTTCTATCGACGAGATGTTTCGGCACCGTCGAAGATACGACCGCAGAGAGCCGAGTTCGCAATATTCTACTATAACGTACAGCGGTCCATCTAAGTGAAACCAAAAAGAGGTAAAAAACAAAACACGAATTGTTGATTTACAAAATTATTATAGCGTGTTTACGTATTCGTATGTTGTGTTCACCGCTGCTTTCTATCAAGAGATGTATTGTTTTCAGGGGAATACTCACGAATCAGGTTCAAGCCAGTTGAAATAGTTATTATCTTCAAATGTTAAACAATTATGTCCCGCTAGCAATGGCATATGCTTATATAAACCTTCTATAAACTAAGACAGCCCTGATGTGAATAAAATTTACAGGATTTCAAATCTTTTTTTAACACATTCAAAGTCCCTTTTACACGAACCTTTTTTCATTCATTCTGCTAACTTTTCATAAACTCTGCGCCCGCGAGCAGAGGTAAGGCACAAGGTGAAATCCTTCATTCATTAACACAACGCCTCACGATGTGAGCTGTGTGATCGAAAATTACCGTTCTATTTTTAGCACAAATGGCATATGAAAATATATCGTGCTACACTCTCCGACCCAGGTGCAAGACTATAAACTATCATTTTAAGTTTTCCTTTTAAAAACTCTACATCGTAGGTTATTCAATTGGCGATTTTTGTACACCGTTTCGCCTCAATGTGATGATCAAAGCGAAGTCGGAATTATTTCATTTTAAACGGCTACGGCATTGTGTCCAGCCGGCACCCAAACTGCTGTCGAGAGTGAAAATGTAAGTAATTTCTGTTAATTTAGAACCCTATAAGCTGATTTTAGAAGATCTAAGATTAAAAGCAGTATGTATTCCATCACGAATGCTTCGACCGAAAACCTATGATAGACTTAAGTGTAAACTGCATTAAAGAAATGAAATGATGCAATTCTGATGACGCACACAAACAATACCTGATCTTCTAACTTACTCTTCAGCGTAGATAAAAGTTGAGCCTAAGAATATCTTCAACAGCTTTAAAGGAAGCACGGATTGCATATAACACTTAGCATACTCGTTCAAAAGTAGAAAAATGCCCAGCTTTGAAGTTATAGAAAAATCCTTTGGTAGCCAGTTGTCCATGGCTACACGTTTCCTAAGTGAGCACCCTTACACTTACTCAATAACTACTAAGAACTTCTGCTTATCTTCACGCGGCAATCTAAAGTATTTACATACTTTTTGTTTTTACAAACTTCTAGTAGCAAACTGAGATAAAAAGAAATAAATGAATATATAAAAACGAGTATTTCACATATTGACGTGACTGTAGTTCAGGGGCTTCGGCAAAATATTTGATGTACCGATGAGGATATCTGTGAAGTGCTACAATGCCCTCGATACTTGTGCAGTTCTCTATGTTATTACATAATCTTTCTCAGTTCTAGCACTTTCTTGTTTCTTACGCAGCGCAGTGTTTTGCAGGCTTACCTCGGCTAGTGCAAGCACCGAGAAGTTTGATAACGTTTACATGATCAACTTCCTTGAGGGTCTGCAACTCTTGTAGGAGATCCTGCGCATCCTGGGTAGATGCGTTATCCTTGAGCATCTTAACGGCTACCGTCGAGTAGCCGTCACGACCGGCAATGCTCCACGCTTGTGCACGCACCACCTTGCCAAATTCGCCTTCACCTAACAAGTTCTCGAAGAGAAGGTTGTCACGGCAGACCTCCCAGCGTACATCTACGCCAGTCATCTGTTACGGAGCCGGGGTGTTACAAATATGAAGCGCTAGGTTAGGTAAAGCGACGCTAAAGGCAAACTAAAATGAAGCAAGTAATAATTACAGTTATGTTGAATGAATTGAGTTAACCCGTAAATGGTGATGAATGAGCTCGCCAGCAGAACCTAAAAAACACCGCCTTTGTTGAAATCTTGCTAAAGTAAGCAACCGTAGTAGCCACACATGATGCAATTAGTGATTCGAACGAAGTTATATTGTTAGTATGTATTTTATCTATAGTCATTTGATGCACACACATAGGCATGTAACTTAGCATAGAATAGCGTATGCTGGACCTGAACTAAGAGTCTCGGGCTCGATTTTTTCTTAATAGAAACCAATTTGCCTAGTCAAAAATTACGTTTAATTCACAAGGGTAGCTTGTGTGAGCACTGCATGGAAAACACCATCCTGTACAGAGTCGCCACGAAATCGTGTATTCTATTGTGTAATGTGTGCGATACCAAAAAAGATGTTGAACGTTCCAACTATCTAGAAGAGTTTCGAAACAGAAGCTTCTCCATCCTAATCCATACAGCGGCGCAACGCAAATTACTTCAATAGAAATTTAAGGAAAGCTGGCTTGAACTACTCTACCAAATGGAGACTCTTAGGAAGATGCTAGTATCCATGTAACAGCTGGAACGGCTCTTCAGGAAAAGGTCAAGTTATTACAGGACCCGCAAATGCCCGCGATATTTAAAACGTTTGTTCCTGCTATTAGATTGTGGAAGTCAGCGCGGACCATAAATTTAATCGATTTTTTCATTTGGAAAAGATGTTCGCGTTCAAAGAAAATTTAAACACAGGTTTGTATTAGAGCTATATATATATATATATATATATATATACCCATGTCGAGCTTGCGCGTTAAATATTTGTTTAAATAACTTACCAGTGTAGCTAATGGTAATTATGTACTGATTCATAAGTGCCATCATCTTCGTGTGAACCGCGTATAGCAGTGAATGTTAACCTTGTGATTGGTATAGCATTGATTTCTTTAATTCTATATATCTTTCTCAGTTACTGCTTATTAAATGCTTTACTCTAACCATGAAATGAATGGTTTTGCCCTGCGTATGTAAGATAGAAGCAGTAAAATAAAAAAGTCTATAGTGCATGAATCTTTGAAGTCTCTCAATCAAAAGCAGCATTTTCATCATTTCAATGAATCAAACAGGGTAGGGGAAGCAAATTCGGCTATGAAAACATCGCGCTATTACCTCTCAATTAGAAATTCATTCGAACTAAAATTTGTCAATTTTCAAAATTTGTCTATTGTAATATTGAGGATTCCTTGTTTGCGATAATCTGTAATTTTAAAATTCTATTAATGTATTTCTGTTGGGCACCTTATTTTCTTCTCCTTCAAGCAGAGAACGATTAAATTAAATGGCTGTAACCACTCAACCAGTTAGACACACAGGTTTTGATGCAGTGACAGGTGGAGGCGCTTAAGCATGCTTGAAATAGGTCACTTAGATTAACCGAAAAATTTCAAGCCGTAATATATTGAAGATCTATGAGATCTCAAGCACGCGCTTGATATGGGTATGAACAGTGATCGCAGTTCTTTGATTTCCAGAATTAAGCTGCAACGGAACGGACCTACGGACCTGACCCCATTGCTATTTGTTACGTTCAAACAGCACTCGTGTCGTAAAATCCACCGCTCATGAATCAACTCCCATGCACTGACACCTGTTGTGATTATTTGCTGGGTCTAAACCTATAACTAAGCGCTCATAACGCTATTCCATTCTCCATGTAAAAAGTCTCTTGTTGACATTTGTCTACGACTGAGCCCTGTACGACTTCGTTCTAATAATTCATTTATGGTTCCACTTTATTGTTGCTGGTATAGCGCATAGATAGCAGAATTAAAGTACTGTTTTTACTATTTCTCCTAAGCTTTTATTTATAGCGGGTATTTCAAATGCGGTTCGCGCAACAACGATGGTAATGAGATATCCGCCAATTCGGACTAAAATTTGCAGGCTGCTCCAGGGCGCTATAGAATGTAGGCCGTATTGGGTTACGGTCCCCCCAATTGAACGACAAACAAGCTAGGTGATGAGCGGAGCACTAAGCATTCGTGTAACGTCCGTATGCTGAATGCCCCAAGCAGCGTCGCTGTTGGTGCGCCAAGATAGGTAGCGTGTGAGATCGTTAGGCGACAATGGCGTGGCCGCTAAATTAGGTTTCGTAATTAAAGTAACTTAATGGAATGTACATAACCCTATAGAGGAAGTTACACTCTATCGTTTGGACTACTACTAGGAAAGATATTATCTTAGGCCAAGGCTAGAAACCGACGTTCATAATGCCTGTACAGTTCTATGTATTGTCTAATGAAACGTTATTAGATCCATTCAATTTAAGCAATAAGCTGGTGTCTATCGCTACCCTCATGGCGGCAGGTAACTTTCCGTTACGGTACACGACTAGGAAGGAAAATACTCGAGTAAGTGGCGTTTTTACATCTATCTTGTCGTAAAGACGGGACTAAGTTAAACGTTTGAGTAAAGTTTATCGATTCCTGTAGCATCTTACGACAAATTAGATTGTCTCGTGGATTCCGCTTGTTTACGCATATATACCAGCTAGCGACAAGCATCCTGCTAGCGCCGGCGAGCTTCGTAAGGTCAGAGTTGAGCCGATCGACAAATCAAGTTATGTCGGACGCAGAACACGAGACCATGCTCTGTGGTGGTATTTCGATTAAAGGTTGTGTTGCTTCTTGTCAAGGTAACTACTGGGGCAGAAATGCCACAACAGCTGCAGGACCGCAACTGACTGGGCTCTGGACACGTCCCATGCTATCAACACTAATGTTGACCCGATGTGACACGTCCAGCATAAGATACGCTTTGAGGTCATTTTACGAGGAGAGTAAATGAGGCAAGTGCGCAAACGACACAACGTGAGCGGGCTAGCGTTCGCGTCGAAAATCGGATTTACCGAACGTCTTGTAATTACTCGTAGACGCTTGGCTATATATACTGAACTGCACATTTAAAGGCGGATCTTCAAAGAAGACAGAGCGTCGGAAACGAAAACGCGAATACTTCTTAGCTCGGCAGTTGCTGCATAAAATAAGTGAAACCTTTCCTTTGGTATCTAAGTTTTTAGAATTTTAACTGCTCTGTAATGTATATTTTATAAATATAGGTTAATAAAAATGCTTCATTTCGTTGAACCACCGACGTACGTATCACGGAGTAGGATTATACATCCAATTTATCAGCAGAATACACACTTGAAGATCCAGTACTTATGTTTCGAGGACTCTATCAATATTTTCATTGTATATCCTCCATTTTGTGACGACCGAAGGCTCTTCTATACGTATGATTGTTACTTGACAAAAGTAGCCTAGTTCCGTGAGAGATGTACTTATTTCATAAAGCACCGGATCGTTTATCGCGAAAAGGTGCGAAAATTCTAATCAGTGATGTATCTCTAAACGTTTAACCTGTATGTCATTCGCATCGAGTCCTCGTCTCACTGACTATGATGTCTTAAGTAAGCGACCAAAATATAAAAGTCTGTCTTATTTGGGACTTTGGCAGTTTAGTACATTTTAAAAAAAAGTGTCACAACTATGAACTTTTTGGTTGATATATTGTCTTAACGCCAGTCTCATTAGCTGCGTAATAGCTGGTATCAACGTCTCTTACGCCCCGCGGTAACGGTTATATTGAAGTTTCTCCATTTCCAGTTACTCTTTAACAATTTGCCCCTTATCCTATCTATAGTGAAGACTGTTTCATACTCGCCTATGATGATGATGAGTCTTCTGATTTGTACCACATTTTACTGTGAAATGTTTTATGCATACGTGAATGTGTTTCACACATAGGCATATAGCGCGCTATTTCTTAAGTAATTTAATAATCTCTACTGAGTATCACTACGTCTGATTAAACCGGCATAGCTACTTACCAACGAGGTGCACGCACCTCTAGCACTAATTACCTCTAGCATTGTAAACAGTTAACCTGTACTATCTTGCTCATTCCGAGGCCTTCGTTGTGTGATACTTTCAAGCGCGACTGCCTCTGGAGCTTTTGTCTCTCTATTATGTTTTCATTAAGTTTGCTCGACTATGTGTGAAAGGTTGTGATTAACGGGCTATGCGTTTAGATCAAATACGAGCACCCTTCTTGTTTCACGCATGTCTATGACAGTGACGGTATGCGTGTCCTTACTGTGAAGACGGTGCTCAAATTAAGCCTATGATGCTGTTCAGCGAACCTGAATTCAATGTTATATCAACTGGTGATTCGGCCTAATTTCATATAGGCACTGGATCTTAAACAACATAATTCCACACTTAGAATGCAACGTACCCGGTTTACACCGGCATTTGTTTTTTTGTCGTACTTGCAGCTTGTACTGTAGCAGGGCGAACTTTGCGATTATTTTCCGCAAATGTTATCATTATCGTAGCGTTTTTTGTTGTTTTTTTTTTTTTGAAAAATAGCTGTACTCAGTTATTGTCGTTCTAATGAAGGAAAAGTGAGATGATAAGCACTTGTAGGTAGTGCAGATGATAGTCGATAATTATAATCCGCGAATGCGACTCTATTAAAAGCTAATAGTGCCGAAAAATACCTCGTTCTCTTCCTCTTTGTATCATATAAAGCTGCATACAAAACTATATCTGTTAGGTAAGCGGAAAGCTTGAGTAAAGCCGTCAAGGTAGCAGACAAAGTGAGCAAAGGTCAGCTCGACACATTTCCATGTACGTACTTTATTGATACTTCAAAGCAAAAATAACTGATGACTCTTTTGTGAGGAGAACAATGTTCTTTTCGGTAGTTTGCTGTCGTGCTGTTCCCCATTCACTGGGCTCCACCATCCCCCACATTACGCAGGTGCGTTAAATGCTGTTTACGTAAATAATAAGCTCCGCAGAAGCCCTATCACCAGTACAAATATCATGCTCTTTTTGATCAATACAACGTGGAAATGACAAAAAGGTCCGTGAGGATGCAGCATGCCTGCCAATCTATATACGATACTGTTGTAGTAATTCTATCGAAATTGATGATCCTAGAGATAAGCTTGAAGAGAATTGATTGTGATTCTTAAAACCATATTCTCCCTACACGATTCACAACCAATACCTATGACTTCCAGTACAAAAATCCATAGTGCACACCAGGTTCCTCTGTCGCAGCTCGAGAAAATTACTGCCTTGTAGAATCTGCTTTAGAGTTGGCTGTTACAGTGGAGTAGAATAGAAAATGCCTACATACTCGTTGTACGTAGAGTTCTCTAAAACGCTAAATCACGGTAAGATACTGTTAGATTCCACAAAATGTTTTGACAGAACTGTCGCCAAATGAAATCCAAAAACAAACGAAAATACTTATGTTTATATGAGAATCGGGACTGAGTCACGAAATGTATGTGCGTTTAAAACGTACATATCTAACAGAAGGCTCAGTCATGCAATGCTTTTTACACACAGTTAGAAAAATGTCACTTTTATTGAGTAAATGTTTTTTGGTGTCGCGAAAAATGTTAACATTTTTTTGCTTATTGTGGTAATTGCAAATATAGTATGGTCTGTTATTCGACCGTCCGGTGCCAGCGGTTCCTCATCATCGCCATTGTTATCATGAGCATCAGCGATTCGTCCAGCGGCCTGGAAACGTTTTCCATAAATGATAATGTCTCAAAAGGCATTTTTTTCTCACATACGTGACTAGCTCGAAACGGTTCTTGGCACTGCTCAAACATATGCTAACCGATATCTGTGAAAACACTCAACAAGCGACCCAGTAAATAGCCTTACTGAAACCTATCTTAAGCGGCAAACTCTCACAATCGGTTCACACTGGAACTTTTTTTTCTCTATGAGTTTACAAGAAGTCTTGCTTAACTGACCTATAGTCTGGTCAGAATTGACGTTCCGTATCGACGGAGCTGTTGATAGTCGGTAGACTACATAACGTAGTTTATTTAACATAGCTACATCCTCAAGGGTTTCGCCACAACGCATACACCTAACCGATGACTGGTTGGGTATGTGATATGACTTTCTCTGTCTACCTCATCGAAGAAGCTGAGCTCGTTATCGTTGTAGGCATACAGACAGTAGCTATAGCTATTGTCACATGAGGGGTAGCAATAGCATTCATATCCATAAATTGCACCCCATTAGTGTCGAACTGGTTTGGTCAGACCATACATTTTGAGTTAATCAACAAAGCATATTTGTGTCCACAATATTTTGAATCTCCAGGCAGCCCCCGAGCACAATAAATGCATAAAATAAGCCCATTGTGGATATGCTGCGTCCTTAATCAAGCTGAACTTTTTCATTTGTAAATATATTTACTTACATATTTTAAACATTAATTGTACGCGGCTCATGACAGTTGCACAGAGACGACTGGTAAACTCATGTTCAAGTTGCCTATTGGAAACTTAATGTACCTTGTTAAAAGTTTAACTGTATCACATTTGCTTGAACCGCACATCTTGGTGCGGTATAATTTAGAATGCCGTTGAGATGCTCGCATTAATATGACGTAGCAGTTTAACATAGAATGCCAACGATATATCGTCATTACCCGCTTATGTATTGCGGAAAACAAGTGAGTCTCCATTAAATGTCTATATATATAACGGATACGTACGGCTAGAAGCTTTACATCGGGACCTTCAAAAACAGCGGACGATTCCGGATCGTAGACAGAGGGTATATCCGGTGTAGCTGGAGTGTCATGCTTCAACGACGGATCTTTCTGAGGACCACCTATGCTGGACCGGCGTAACGTAATAAAGATGGCGACCACTGAGAAGACAAGCAGCATGCCTCCGAGTCCAACGACCTTTAATAGATTAGCACAACCCTGTTTGCCCCGCATAATTGGGACAACAGACAAAACAATCAAGTAGTTGTTGTATTATACAATACATATACAGAATGTACTTACATTGTAACAGAAGTGGATATGATCGTCGAAATCTAAAACGCAAATATTCAACCTTAGTTTATAAGACGACGTCTTTAATTTAATAAACGTATTCCATTTTATAATATTCATTTGTACACTTTGTAGAAAAAATATCTTGTTCGAACAACGGCATTTCCGCATAAATGCCTATTTGCTTATTATCGCGGCTAGGTTTTTTGCACTTTTTCCGTTTCTTTGCAAACCATTTTATCGTCTTGATAATAGAAAGGTTAAAGGATTTATCGAGTGAGAACAGCGCTAATAGTTGCATCACTTAGGTAACGCCAGCTTGACGAGCGGATGATATTCGTGTCTCTGATATGATAAGATGAAACTATTCAACTTTCAAGTTTTAAGGTCTATTGTCAATTTATAGTAATGAAAAGAAAGGCTTTCTATGTTTACTAGCGATTTATTAAGAACTATTCCGCTTCGATATCTGTAATTACAACGTAACGAGAATAAGGAGGGGGCAATTTGATAATGATTATTTCTGTATTATCTTAACGAGTCGCCTCTTAGAGCTTTGAGTTTTTGCTTGTCCAGGTGCAATGGCGACAATTTGGCAAGTTCATCCATTGTCTTATAGACTGCCTGTTATACTTATCGGCCCCCATCACTTGTTATCCACGCCCAATAGTTATGTGTATATCAACTGCATCGATGCTGTTATGTCCGTCGTGGTACGATGGGTGGATAGGGCATACATCGAATGTGTCGCACGGAAGCTCGTACCGCGGTGGCATTTAGTCGAGCCAATAGACTCCAACTGGTAAATGGAAACTAGCATTGAGTTAAACGGGACAAGCTATCGTTCGCCATATATTCGTTCGAGTGCAATAGAATCTTGCTAATCTGCATGGCTAACTATTTATCTTAGTTATTTGTACAAAGAAAACGTCTGTGATACTAAACCATTCGCGCACTCGACCGTCCTCTTCGCACACCCAAAACTCCAACGTTGGAGCAGACAGAGCTTCTGGTGGGGATCGTTGAATTGAACTTGGTTTAGCTAATGCCAAAAAGAAGTACAAATAAGAAACTCCCATGGTCGGCCATTTCAGCCATATTCAATGTGGGTGGCAGGACATGCTCCGTCCACACTGTCCCGCCCCCATGGGAATCGTTTCGACCAGGGTCTGAGTTGGATACTATTCGACGTCGTTTGTTATCAAAGTCCTACCTGTTCTCTTCGAAAACAAACGGAAGGGGGGCAAAAAGACAACCGCTTAGCCCCAAACCCCGCAACTGTTCTCCAAACACTTCGTGTTTACTGGCCGTTTGGACGCATGTGGCTTTTGTCTGCGGCTGTTCCGGTCGTCTGGCTTGTTGCGATTTCGATGTAGGCCAGCTGTAAGTGCCTCCATGTTAATGGTGTTCGGTCTTACACGTTCTCCTACTAGCAGCATATCGCTATCAAGATCTGAACACTTATCGAACCGCTTTTGCCAGCTCACAAAGTTAACGTCAATGAGACCACCTCAGTAACCTTTAGGTAGGTGTCCTGAACCTACTGAACTAGACACGTTTGGCTCGTTCAAGTAAAATGTCAAAATATATTGCTAGCTATACTATTGCATGCACATTTTTCCAAGAAACGCTGACTGCTATATTTTTTTCGCACGTTGAACACTCAGTGAAAACTAGATGACAGATTCACCTTCGGTCCACAAAGACGCGCATTGCTGCCTACGGACAACTTTGATTGCTCGTTGGCTCTTCGTGCGCTGCGTGCCGTTTCAACTTTATTCTCGCTTTGGAACGTGTCACACGTGCACTGGTTTGTGGTAGCGCACCAACATTTTTCACTGGCGTCAGCAGGGATACCACGAACCGGATGGCTGGCCTGTCTAGCGATCAATCCTACATTGTCTGCAACATAATGGTGGATTAAAACTTATTGACCCTCGAAACAGAAGCAAACTTTGACGCCGGTTAAGGGTCTACGGGCGAAAACTCCATAAGAAGCCGTCGTGTTGTTCACATCTGATATGCGTTTTTCTACCGGCAACAGGAAGCCACTAAGGTATTAGATGCAGGGAGATTGTTCTGACAATGCATGTAGGAAAGCAAGAACGTCTCGTAGCATCCGGTACAATAAAAGTCGAGAAAATTAAACGAATGCTGGTGGTGAACCCGTAAAGAGTACCTATCTATTAGAATTTTAGTTATATAATAAATGATAGTGGTGCATCTGTTGCTGGTCGTGCTTCAGTCAAATACCGTGGTATACCTGTGGTCACCAGGTTCAAGGAACATCACACAATGTTCAGATCACGTGAAAGAGGTACGGGAACCCACAATTAAGTGCTTTACTAAGCTACGAAACCCATGGCTAACATATATGCAATTGGTACGTTTCCTTACAGTGCGCGCGTTAGGCCCCGTAACCCGAATTTGATATTTGAATTCAACTTACCAGAACAGTCCTGAGGACATAAATAACGAACTTGCTCTTCCAGTTCGTCACAGTATTGATCTGGACAATGCTCCAGGTCCGGCGAGCACGATAAGTACGATACGTTTACGTGGCGCTTCTCAATTCCATAATAAGTCGTCTCACCTTGGCCCCAGTTGCAATGCCCCCCTGAGGCCCCATATCCGCAAATGCTGTTGCACTCTCGCTCACTGTCATAAGTACTGCATTGTACATTAGTAAAACCTGCAAATCATTAGATCGCTTTGAATAACTTGGTGATCGCAACAAACTTTAGATTGGAAATTGCTTTAATGTTCTCCTAGTAGGAAATTGCATTTACAGTTCTCATTACTGCGGTGCAATGTTTGTATGTAGATCGAATGTGGAAAACAATCTTGATACTTTACTCATTACTTGTATATATATATATATATATAATATATATATATATATATATATATACAAGTAATCGCAGTTTTTACTTAGAACCTCCCGTGCTTACTGTTTGGTTTTGTGTCGTTCTAGACGACCGTTGGAAAGATAACAACTGATTAAACAAGCTTAGAATAGACGTGACGTACACGATAAAAACATTACAGTTGAAAGGTACATATAGTGAAGTTGCATGCTAAGTCTAAAACGAAATCTTCAATTCAAACAATGTATTCCGCGCGATTCTTCGAATTCGTCAAGCATCCCTTTGAGTCGATTTTGAAGGAGGACGACTTCTAGGTGAGCCTATACTTTTAGCTATGGAGCTTTCACCATAGTCGAGGAATCACTATCGTAGGTTGCATTGTCAGTTCTTGCCCTTGAAAATAGCAAGCAAAACAGATATCGAAGGTTCCGCCCGATCTTTAAAGCAATTTTTTTTAATCTATACAAAGCGACGAGAGCGGAATAAAAAGCTGTCTAATGATGCATAAAATTTGGCTATTAGCAAACAAATACAAGGAGCTCGATTAGCTTTCGAATAAGCTAACATCTATATAATTGTAGGAAAGATAAGAAAAATGAAATGCTCACTAAATGAATGATATTTTTTCCAACTAATTGTCGCCAGCCATTGAACTACAAAAGACATTGTTTTCTTGGATCTACTTAGAAAGTCTCCTATGCTATTTGCCGAACTTCTGTCTGTCAGCAATGGACCATCCTCCTTAAAAACATAAATATCAGCACAACAAATCTCTTTATCTCACAAGCCACAATCTATTCCGTATTGATGTCAAGTGATGTAATGAGGAAACCATATGCTTTACCCCGACTTCAAGAGGCTAATGTGTACACGATGTCAATGTGGTTAGCGTATTTAGCCAGAATTTATAAACGCGTAGGAAAATTTCTCGGTATGATAACATAATAGTAATAACAACAACAACAACAACAATTTTACCTGTATTGTTACAAGCGGGAATCTGGTTTTGGTGGACTGTCACATTGATATCGTGGTGAGTCGGCTCGTTTATTATATCATTGTACGTTTCATGGAACCGAGATCGATAAATCTTCACTCTCAATAGTACAGTCTTGCCTACAAGCTTGTTTAACAGTATGGGATTCAGCAAGTAAACAATGCCCTCTTTAAGCGTAACAGCGAACGCTTGATGCCAGTGGCTTTTGTCCTTTATGAACTTATACCGTTCGCCTCCATGAAGATACAGAGCTGGTATAACCTGGAAAAGTCAATAAAACAACAAGTTTTTATTAGTAACTGACAGTCAGCTAATTGATTTGTTGCAGTGTATAGATGTAGCCCAAAAATTTCGTAGTATCCTTTGATCTGACCCCTTACAGATACGACGGTGATCGAATTGTTACCAGAAAGCGATCTCCTGGAGCTCTCTCAGTCAGTTGACTCGTACAGACCCCTGCTGTTCTCTATCTAGATACGCTTATTGGTCACTGGCTCCTGTCTATGTTACATGCTGTTAATAGCCCCAAATCTGGTCTGTCCACTAATTTGTTTGTAGAGTGCCCATTTTCGATACACACCCAAATAATGTTGTGTCATCGTATCTTTATGATAGGGTCACCATTGCAAATTGTATTTTGTTTTTAACCTGTTCTGTTTACTTTTTACTTGACATACGAAAATTGTTTAGTCAGTCGTAATTCTGATAATCACGCGGCTTCATCCCCTTCTGTGGCATCGTGTGCGGCAACTTGTCGATGTATGAAGGTAACTTGTCTGTGCACATCGGCGTAGCTACATCTTACTGCTGAAGGCCTTGATTATGTTACTTCTGGCCAGACCGCCCAATTAACAGAGTAGAGCTAATATTAGGCTGTTACAAGTGAATCCAAGAAGTAACCAAGTTTATTGCGATATGAGGCTGGGTTCATTACTGCACTTGTGGCAAGTGCATCATAGTAGCAGATGCCCCCTGATAACCATTTTTAGGTTTAAACCTACTCGACACTGTCATCGAACTCGATTTTTCTCCAGGGCGATGTTATTTTCTCGCCTGGTCCAAACACCGGCCAGCGCGAAACTACATGTAATCGATAAATGCTATATTCTGTGAGTGATCTTTTGTTGTGGAATACATTTCCAGTTGACTAGAGTCAATCTACGGTTTCCGTAAATTTCTCGATTTTTGGTGTGTTCAGCATTCGGGTTTTGATTGTGTAACACTTTATGAGTAACATGTCAGTTTTGCCTGACAGAATTTAGACAACAAGCCCTGCTTTTGTAAAAAGTCTTCTCGGTTGCGGCAATACGTCTAGTACCAATATCCTGTAGGCCCTTAGCACTCGAATCTCCGTTCTTGAAACGCCTGCTCCATTCACATACTCCGCGTTCGTTTAAAACTTCCTCGCCTAATGCCTTCACCAATCGTTCATTTTCTTAACGCTGTGGCCCTCCTGACCACTAAACGTCGATCTCCGAGATTAAAGGTTGTTTTTTTCTGAATCAATTTTTCCTCAGCTAAGTTCAACCGGTACTTACTCATAAGCTCCCCGAAACTAGAGTAATTACCAGCCTAATTTGGCCCGCCAGCGTCGCGTAATCCAAGAACTAAATAATAATACTTTAAAGCCATTTTTTTTTTACATATACAGTAAACAAATGAAGATCTGTTTGTACAGCTTCACACTTGAGACTACACCGTCATGTAAGCAACTTGATGCGTACATGATCAGATTACTTTCGAAAATAACGACGTAATGAGTGTTTGGGTTAACACCCATTCAGTAGAATTTTCTTTTTTTCCTTTTTGGGTGGCCCGTTGGTGACAACCGTACCGTAAAAAGGAGCAATTTAAATTGAAAAGACTTCCGCGCTTATTAACCATTCGGGTAGGTTTATTTGTACTGCAAGCACACGGCGCGAAACGTGTATGTACTACTCTGTATGTTTAAATATACTTCTGACCTCGATTAAACATTTTCAATTTCTATCAATGACACTGATAACGTTCAACAGTTCGTATAAAACTCATAATAGAAGGTCAATTGGATGATAGAATAAAAAATGTTGATATAGGGAATAAGGGCAGTAAATATAGAAAAGTCATACAGTTTTCGAATATATAGAACTGCGATTCTATAGGGAATTACGCTTTTTTTTTTGAATAATTTTACTCTCTGAAAATGTTAAGTCAAATTTTAATCTATAGAGTGACAAAGGTATCGTTAAATAACCAACAGCAAATAGCTTATTATCGGTGGCACCTCTCATTGTTTTCTAATTAATAGTAAAGCAGGCCAAATGAATATAGCAATAATAATATAAAATAAAAATGCTACAGCTTTAAAAGTCTTCAGAGAAACATTTATAGAAAGGAACGATTAATTAAGGAGCTGTGAGTATTTCATGCTGACATCGTTTCCAACTTCTCTGAATGCTCCTTATGGACTGATTGCAAGGGTCGCGCTCCTATGCGCTCTAGTGGTCCATTAACCACTCAGATCGATTCAAGTAAGATTCTGTCATTAAAAAAATAGTCACTAAGAGCAGCAAATATTTGTCCTTTTTTATTACATCGGGTATGATCCAGTGCCATAACACGAACATTCGATAACAGGTTCGGTTGGAATTAAAAAGGAATTTTGTTTTTGATCCCGTTCACATAGCATTAGCAAATGTACGGTTACTAATTTCATTTTGCAATGTTTGTAAAAGTCGGTAGTCCGTGGCCTGGAGGTCTGGAGAACAGGGTCTGTGAAAGGAACATGCCAGTCTAGCCTTTACAAAAAGGTTTCCACGAGCTTTGGCTAGGGCAACCTAGTATCGTTGTGGACAAGGATGATTTTACCCCAGCCCCGATAGCCTCGTTCGTTCGACGTAACCGGATTATAATTCTTGACCTTTGTTGACCGTCTTGCTTTTGTCAAGGATTTCCTATTATGTAAGACCGGTTCGGTTTTACCTAGCTTAAGGCACAGTGGTTTAAGGATCAAGATTTGGCTTAACTCGGGTTGTAGATATATGAGTGAAAGCTACCAATTGCCTGCTCTACTTTGTATCGATATGGAGACACTAAATCCTATCCTCCATTATAATTCTGTGTAAAATCCTTTCGTTATAATTGAGCGTTACATGATGCCAAACAAGATTTTAGAAGTTCACGAAAAGTTGTACTTTTATTGTGTCCTCCCTTACTTCCCCTTACTTAAGTCCCCCAGACTTTCAATTCCTAACAAAGTTCCGTGCATTCGTGATGGTTTCCTTGTTGATGTTGCCAGCTTGCTTTTTCGACTATTTAGTGAGTTGTTCGCTCTCCAATGTCCTCGTCGTGGCTAATCGAGGCGCGATACTCTTACCGAAGCTACGAGCCCATTTCTGGCTGCTTCGAGCAGCCTTCTGGGTTAAACGGCCCAGTGTACACAATAAATATCCCAGGCTGCTTCGACTACTTCCAACCTCGGCAAAAAGTAATAAGTCCTAATATCATACCTTTTTCTCCTAAAAATTTTTTTCTTTAGCGTACAAACTCGACATAAGGTTCGGTTCACTAGACCATAAACTGACAACGGACTTACATAAGAAAGAAAGTTACATGTTTAATGGTATATAAGTATGAAAACAGTGAAGAGATAAAAGGTAAAAACGACAATAAAAAGAAACCGAAATTGCTCGTCCTCCGATCAGATAGAAAACGTACCCTACGCTAATCATGTTAACTATTTCCAATCTTGTTTTATATTCGATGACGCTATTAGATATATTTTCATTGTCTAGTTTAAATAAAATAAAGGATTAAAAAAAACGATCGACATAAGTGAGCCCAAAAGGGTGCGTTTAGTTTTTGAAGAACACTATATATTTTTATAGATTAAACTAATCTCCAGGGAATACCTTCGAGTACAGTCTCGTAAGTTAAACCGAGTTTTATTTACAATACAATACTTACGCCACATCCACAGTCATGTTGCTATATGCCGACATGGTTTTAAATATTACATGACGTATCTTAAAGATATTTCATCACATACTACTGGAAATGCGTAGTTACTTATTTACTAAATTTGCATTCGTTTTTTTAATTGCTGAGTATGTTCGAAAAGTTTTTAATTATAATAAGTAGATAATAGCACTATAAATATATATATATATATATATATATATATATATATATATATATATATATATATATATATATGTTATTTCGACGACAACGATTACACGACCGGGCAGCATGTTACACAGAAAATATCTACTTTCCACGATCTTGTGCAATGTCCAATATTGAGGTGCCCTGTAAGGTACTGAATCTTGGCTGATCTCGGCCACACTGAAGGCCTTATTCGAAAGAAAAAAAGAAGGTTATATTACTTTTCATAAAATGTAGGTTTTTGACCGAGAAACTAACACTTGAGATATCGAAATTTCCATTTCGAGCCTTCTCGAGAAATGTAGCACTCAAGGCGTAATCATATTCTCTTGGACTCGTAAAGCGTTCCAAAGGGCAATTTCGGTTCAAGAAATTGCGCTAAGCTTCACGATTGGGTTTAATCCAAGTTGTATTATCAAAATACTTACTCTTTATATATTACATACTTGCGTAGATATCTCCGCGCGCTTCTAACCGAATCTTGGGCAGGAAGCAACGTTTTGTGCATGTTTTTTTGTACGAAGCGAAATACCTTACTTACAATAGTTTTCCCTAAAACTTTTCAATTATTCTGTATATAGCACTGGTATATGTATTTGGCATGGTTTTCCATAGTCAACGAAAGAGGTTCTTGTACGTAGGTGGAATACGTGGCCATCGCCAGTTAAAATTTCAACATTAGCAATTACGGCATGTAATTATCGTGCTGCGTCTACTGAAGGAATCACCTGTTCAAAGGCTTTAAATTAATCTAGGACTCCATCCCTCAGGAAGACATCCATGTCTCTAGGACTACAGATCTACTGCCGTGCCTTCGAAAGTTTGGACATAATCGTTTTGCCTATCGGACACGCATTATTATTTCACTTAATGTAAAAAATAATTTCTTGGCATTTATTGCAAAGATTGATTTTTTGCAACGTGACCACAAGTGGGCGAGTATCGTTATTTTTTTTAAAAAAGGAGTTGTTCTTAAGAGTAACCATCACAATTTATGTTGCAAAAAGTATTAGGTCGACAAAGTGTATGAAATTTCTTTCGATTCATTTTTGAAATTCGATGTTTTTTTTATCTAGCTACATTCTCAGAAATATCTAATAACGTCGCAATGACGCCAACTGACAGACCTTCGAACGTTTGCCTAACGTGTGTACTGAATAGGTCGGAAAATAGGCATATTTGGCAGATTTTGACGCTTCATTTTTGTGCATCTTATTTACCCATTTTAAATGTGACCCACTCCATGTTTGCATTTGCTTGACTTTTCACATTTCGCCTGAGTTTGTTCGAAACGTTTTTTAAACTATTAACGCATTTACACATAAACTTGTATACGCCTTTGTTACTAGTTTTCAAATCTATGAAATATGCATTAGAGACAACAACACTTGTGGAGAGATTGACGTATAGTAGGACCCTATAAGAACTCATGGAAAATCCTATTGTGTGTCGCTGGTAATAAAAGAAGTCCTTACGACAACCTTGGATGTAAGACAGAACAAATAAGTCCCGTATACGATTCAGTATGGGTTACATATTTGGGATTTGAGAGGGGATGTCTTGCTGAACAGATTCAACTGACCTCCCGTCGACTCAGCTCGTCAAACTGGGTCTAATTATTGATAATACGAAAATTCTAGAAGGACAGTAGTAGATAACCTTCTTGTATGACAAGATGTTACATGAAAAATTCGGCAACCCCAAAAATCCTGATATGGCTTAGGTTGAAATTCCTTTACAGAAGCTTCAAAATATATTTATCAATGTACCGCCTCTATGGATGGCGTCCCAATTAGCCGAAAAACGCGTATATAGCTGAGTTACCTTGATAGGTGCCGTCTTTTCCCATAATTAGCATTACTTAAATCAAGCCAAAAACGAATTGATTTAGTGCTATCGATAAAGGGTCATTTGTTTAACGTGAGAATGCAACAGGATCTTATCGTTCAGCTGTTATAAATACAACTTACCCTTGAATAGATGCTACTTAACCCCGCCGTTAGGTTGGACGTTGATTGTGCTCTGCTCAGGTCAATCCGATGTTCGATCAACGAATGGTTCGTAGCTCTGCCATGAAATTTCCACTAAAATCAGGCGCAATCGCAATGTGTTAAAACATGTACACGCTTAAGATAACCGCCTTCTACATCATGATCTGATGTCACTTTTGTGAGTCTGAATGATTCAGATTGTATCGAAAACCATCATCATACTTGAGGCTATTTGTGAGACGGAACCAGCAGCCGAACAATTGCAAAAGGTTCGATCGAACAATACATTTATCAGGCCTCGAAAGTAATTTTCAGTTTCCTGCCTTTACTATATACTTCGAAAAACATTTCTACAAAAACAATAAAGAAGAAAAAAAAGATTCGTTCAACGTTATCTGTGAAACGACCAACCTTTTTCAATACACACTTTGTTAAAACTTGCAAAGTTCTGGTGAGATTTTGGCTGAGCATTACCTTACTCAATCTAGAAAATCCTTGGCTGTTTTTCTTCGTGCCTTTATTTAAAAAGTATTTAAAAGACCTGACGAAAAATAATGAGAGACATCCTACTTGAAGTCTTCATCTGAAAGTCGTTAGAGCTTGCGTCGTCTCCCACATGGTTGGAAGACTTGCTCAGCAGCCTATGTGCGTCTAATCTAGTGTTTGTAAGAATGTCCACCAATGATACAATTAGGAAGCTTGGGAAAAATACATGCCTTTCGTACACTAGAACTTCGTAATATAGGCCAAAGTTCATGTTTTCTATATAAATTTAAGAAAACATCTAGAATAATATGTATATAGCTTCTAAGGCTGATCAACCGAATTGGTTGCCCTGTTCCAATTTTATTTTTTGTTTTCTAATAGCAAATACAAATTTTTATCTTATTATATTTTAGAATTTCTCGAGGTTTGCTAATGGAAGCAATCTCAGATTGGCTAACTGTGGGTTCGTGAAGGCTGGCTATGATAATGGCCATTTGATGTGCGTTCAGTCCATTGTAATAATCATTTACTACTCCACAGGCGACAAATCTAAGGCCTTGGTAGATTTCTATAACACAAGGAAATCTTATGAGCTCACTTTTTTTGGGTAAGTTGTATGATCCGTCGTGGATCTCTCTTCAAGGATGATGCCAAAATTATAATAGACATTAGGATAAAATGATACACCCTTACGGCCATTTACATCTGAAAACACAGTTAATAAAAAGTGTCAATTATTAAGAATACAATCACGATTAATATATAATAGATTATTTAAGTTATGACAGGCGTTAACCTAGAGGGCAAACCTGCTGAGCTGTTTACTATATATCTTGTGGCATTGGGTGTTGTGATATTGAATATTAATGCGGCAAGTATTATGTTGAAATTGTCGTGAGAGTCTGATGTATGTAAACATCAGATGACAGGTTCCACTGTGAAAACACTTCAAAGGCAGTGTTATCGCTAATATCGAGTGCCGGTAAAGGAGACACTGAGCCGATAAAAGCTTAGCCTATAGTTCGTACGTAAGCTGTTTATCTATGCCCGGTATGTAGGCTTTACACAGCTCCTAGCACAAGCGCAAAAAATACTTATTTCGATATCGACTTGAAGAGACTTTTAGGAAATGTTTCCTAATTGATATTGTTCGTGAGACAAATGCATTTGTGACGTTTATGCTTGAACTTTATTTGTCAGATTCTATCAGTGTCGGGAAGTATTATACAGGTTTCCTATGTTGGCTTACCATACAGGCGATAGTTTTAATATAGTTACGGATCAGTCAGGTGTATTGGGCTTGGACGTAATAATATAAAACGTCAAAAAGATATCTGACGCATGTACGTTCGGGAATAGACATACAAAAACAATATAATAGCGGTGATGATCGCTATCATATTTGAATCCGCCTACCATAAGCCTTCGGCTGTAGACCTTCTAAGGTTAGAACACAGTAGCTAGCGACGCTTCTGACATGGCTCTGTTTCAGATCCTTTTCTGTCCACTACACTATTAGGGATATTCTGCTAGAGAAACTAGTCAGCGTCTTCTACAGTTTCTGCATATAAAAGTACGATAATACCTAAGGTGTTACTACGGAAACGCTAACTTACCTATGAAGGACAATACACTTCTCTAGTCTTATATATAATACGATGTTGTCTTGTAGAGACTAACAAGATGTGTTGTTATGGTTAGTATTACATTATAATAATAACTGAAACTATGCAGACGTAGATCTTCTAGAAAGAAAAAGGTTCATCCTTGTCCATAAAGAAAGTTATTACGGATGTCCTTATGTATACATACACTTGCGTAACGCCCTAAGCACATGGCGGACTAACTAGATAGCGGTAGGAGGTGAAAGGACTTTGCCAGCCACAAATAAAGGACAAAGCAAAACTCAATTATCCTATTTCAGTAGAAGAACCAGTTGAAGAGACGATATTCGACCGGATCGCGCTTCAGTCCCATCTAAATACTGCGGCAATTGTTAGTGGGTAACGTTTTGTCCTTCGTAATTGAAAGTACCTAACCGTCTTTCACGAACAAGTCGATGTGAAAACGAAGGACATATTCTACTTATTGTTTTCCAGTGAAACGACTCGCCATCGACGTAACATCAATCATAAGAAACAAATCTACGATGATCCACGTTATTCTCTTTTATTTACGATAGTCAAAGATAATTATTTTGTACTAAATAAAAAATACTTCTGCACTTCATTGGTTGGACCCGGCCAAAGAAAAAAGTAAATCCCAATGATTTATCTCACCTATGATAACTCGACGAAATTCGTCGCTATTTGGGAACTCCAATTTGGCTTTTGCTTTAAATATGTTTAAGCTATCATTCACAACTTTAACAGTAAACTTTCCTCTGGGGTCGACATCCAGCACTTGAAGTTGGCACGCAAACTTCTGAAACGGAATCCGTTACATTGAGTTAATTATAGTTGCTCTCGCAAACAAAAAAGAGGCAGAATAATTTAACAGCTGCGAATATCTTGCAAACTTTGTGTTTTTCTAGCTGGAACTCACCCTGCCCTTGTAGCTTATGATATCGCAAAAAGGTTCACTTGGCCGCGTTTCTGTTGGTGTTGACGATTCTATGCCGAACGCAGCAGAGACTAGCATAAGGGTATGATTGAAGACAGGCCCGTTGAGGCTATTTAGTCGGCAGGACATTGTCAATGATTGATGTGCTGGGTCAAAGTCTGACGAGACCGCTGGACGAGTTGTGCGAACGGTATGTGTAGCTTCATCGTAGTACAACAGATCACCTAGGGGAGACGTTGAAATTATGAAACATAATTATTCAGTCATTATCTGATTTCAATGCGACGTAGTACGACATACAGTGTGTTTCGAACTGAGTAAAAAAAAACTGCCGTTTATGCTTTTGTTGATTCTAAAGCGCTTGTTTAACTTGCAATACTAATGATTGACAAGCAACACCATCTGACCCACCATTAGCAAACCTTCTAAGTAAGCGCATTGATCACTATCCTAACGGTAGCCATCTTGAAATGTGGCTAATGATCTTTTTACATCCAACATCAGAAACCCGAAAAAAAAACTGAAAGTTTTTTCTGTCTTTATCGATTTGTTGATTATATGTCACTTTTGGATGAAATTTAAGGACGTCCTCATACACGTTCATACATGACCGGCATACTTGCCGCAGGTCTACTGATTAGTTAATAGAGAAATTATTCATACACGACTTTTTGAACCTTTGAAAAAGTACCATTCAGCGGAGAAACGTGTTTTTTTAGAAGCTCAGAGATCACGATATATAGCATATAGTGACACTCGCGCTACTGTAATTTGAGAAAAAAAATACAGACCTGGTAATAACTAATGCTCGCAATGTCCAATATTTGTAATAATAGCGAACGTTTTTTTTAACTAGTTTTATTTATAGGGGTTTTAAATAAATAAGTGCAAATTTTTTGTGTGTTACAATGGTTTACGATTATTTTCTGCATAAAAAAATTTGCATTTATTATATTAGCAGAAGTGCTTACTAAAGATATCTTTCGTTGAAAGGCTTCTCTTGTGCAACTTCTGCGGATTCTACGAGATATTTCAGAAAAATTCATATCGTTACCAGACTGATGATTGGCTAAAATGAACAAATCTAGCGTGTACCACGCAGAATGACTAAGTTCCATATTCGATACTTATCAGAGTAGTTTTTGGCAGAAAGACAGAAGATAGCCCCAGAAGACAGTTAAAAAAGGTTTAGTTCTTTAACTGGGTTTACTCAAAAGCTTCATCTAGGATGTAGCTGGGATAAGTAGCATTCTGGGAAGCTACCGACGTGAACCATTTTGTGTTTACATAGTATATACACATTAGGATTGTTTGTAGTATAAACGACCTAGCTTTTCGCTTATCTTTGCGATGCATTCATTGGCAACAATGGCCTCCCTGAGTAGGTTTAACACCACAACGTTAAGCATGTGAAAATTAATGTTTCAAACGCCGTATCACGCCTAACCTCCGTTCAGCAAGAATGTTGAATATGAAAACCCCCGCTTTCTATGCACGTGACTGGCTGAAAAGTTCCTCCCACCAAGCATAAAGTGTCAAGTTTTCAAGAGTTTTTCCCTGCTCCGACCTAAATTCCACTGTCGATGCGCTAAGATGGCCTAGTTTTTTTAGCGTACGGTGCCCCCGATTTTAAATTCTGAGCCGACAACGCGCAGCTGCACGATGTGTGTCCCTCGGCATACAAACAACATATTAAAATATCGTTTTCAGCAAACGTTTGGTCAAATAGATTTACTATCGTCAGTATGGTTCTGAAGAAAGTTTTACTCTAAATACACTTTTCACGCCTGGGAAAAGCATTTTTCTTCATTACACCCTTCTGCCTGTCAGGATGCGTGTACGAAGATTGTCGCTTGCAGTAATAGTAACACTAAGCTTTTGTCTTCGTTTTTTTTAGATCGTCTCTGTTAAACTTATGTACGTTTAGCCTATGTACGTACAATTATTATTAACAAAAAGAAAACGACATGTTGCATTGTATAAATAAAGACTATATTAATATTTCATGGAAGCATACATCATACATAAAATCATGTGCCCTTAACCATACTCCGTACGTGCTTGAACCAGTCAGCATCGATATAAACTTTTGTCTCGAATGAGGTTTGACGGAATTGTGTATTTATTCTCTCTAATTGCGTACAAACTGTATTCTATTCGCGAAAAATCGTGACCTTCCATTGAAGGCCGGCTGGCAGGCCGGCCGAGTTAAATCAATGATCGTTTAGTTACATTTGTGGTTAACAATATATTACGTGGCTCTTTTACATCTATAGTAATCCTGATCCCGAATAACAATCCGCTTCTTTGAGCAGGGTGGCAGTTTTTCTTCTATTTATCTTTAATACTTCAATTATTATTACGGTGTAAGCATCAAGAACCCGTTCCCACTAAAGCATCTAGCTGGATTCGGTCTTGCTAGACTTATCTCGGGTTTCTCTAGTAAAGCTAACAAACGGCTTTGCCAATACTGAAATTCGAAGTGGCTGTGGCCGCGTATTTATGCTTACCGTTCTAACCCATCCAAAGACCTGCGTTAGCCATTCGCGGTAGGCCGCCCCTTGGCAACTTTGTATCTAATCAGAATTTCAACACAGTTGGTTTTACCATGTGAAATGCACTATTTGAATAATAAAATACGCTATAGCATTTTTTTATTATCTTGGAAGAATCACTCGAGTTCGGGCTCTAATAGACCGTATGGCTCCGTTTAAACTGGTGTTATGTTGATAGGTTTACGGGTATCTCTTGGCAAATTACCTAGAAAAAAAAAGGTTTATGTGTTTGATTTTACAATGCGACGTGACATGGTTAAAAATCTTGCTGAGTTCATTTCGATGCTGAGGTTAACTAAGTTGATATAGATGCGTTCAAGCTAGAGATATAGTCGCGACAGATGACGCAAGTTTCATAAACTTTTCATACAAAGAATGACGAAGTCAAACTTAGAAGCACAATATAGGCGTAGTACAGTTAGTTTCGTGATTGAGAATCGTATAAGAAGTAATGTCAGTTTTATAATGTCTGCAGAATATATGGACACTAAAATAGGGTCATAACACTTACTCTCTGAAAAAGTGTATCTTGCGGTTGTATTGCAGAATCGTTGTAAAGGTGTGAGCATGTACATGAGTGGCGTATTTTTAGCATCGTCTACCGCAATCGTAACTTTCTCAGGAGACGTCGCTGCAAAACATAGCTCCCTCGATGGAATATAGCATTTCGCCTCGGACTTTTTTATCACACCTGTAAACTCAACCACGGTACGGGCCGAACCTAAGAAGTCATGCGAGGCTTTTACTTCGACGCGAAGTCCATTCGAGAAGTCGTGGCCTGCAAAAACATTATGAGTCAGACTTACAGCACAATACACGTTAAGCACATTGATAACGCGTTCGGTATCTGTGCAATTAATTACATGATAAATCACTGCTGCATCTGAATCGGTGACGAATATCCTTTGTACGGAGTACGACTGGCAATGAACTGTGGATATCCGCAGTTGTTTCAGTACTTTCGAGTTCTGACATGTAAATGTAGAAATTTACAAATAAAAAAAATTCGAACCCTTTAATTAGTGAGTATCTATTCAAATGTGCTTTTTTTGTGTCGTAGTTATATAATAAACGTTGTGACAGTACGTCATAGCTTGTTGGTTGTGTGGTGGAAAGTTCAATCAAGCAAACGAAAAATTGCATTTTATTGAGCAAAACGATTCCTTCCAGATTATTCGCAAGCCGTGTCACTTGTATTTTCACGAACAGAGTTATATTGTGTCAGCTGCTAACTTGGTCTATCAGGCTTCCTTTATCCGTTTAATGGCAGGTGTAAATACACGTACTACGTGAACTATATGCAGTAATCATTCAGGCAGAGTATTAGCAAAACCGAGACGAACTTACCAGATTCGTTAAGGTTCCGGACCAGGAAAAGGTGTCCCAAATTTGGATCAATCGAAACAAAGTTCTTAGGGGCGAGCACTCGAAACAGGACGTCCGACTGGTCTGGAGGATTTACTTGTACACGGTAGAACACCTGGCCAGGAGAGAGCGTACTAGGAAATCGGCCTGCCTGAATCCGTCTTTGAGAAAAATGAAGTGGGCTGGATAGAATGGTATTGGGCTCTGAAATTAAGACGCATAAAAATGCAACGTTGTACTATGCAGCGTATGACAGACACCGGTCTTCTGGTTGATGGACGCCTGATCTTCGTTATGACAAATTAATTATCTTCAACTGAGTTGACAGCGTGTTTGTTTTAGGGTGTAAAGTTCTAGGACTGACACAAAGCAGAAGCATTTAGGTAATGGCCAACATATTAATCAGGCAGGCGACCTGTTGGGGAAGCTTCTCTAATTCCGACTTACGGACTCAGTTCTTCACATTAAGAACGTATGGAAATGAAATACTGACGTATCCTGGAAAAGATTTTCACCTCCTCGCGAAAGGCAAATGTTGGCCTTTTAATTTTGGCCGTGTATGAACGAGCGCTCGGTTTTGCAGCTCTAACAGTCCAGTTTTCTATTCCGGTTGCGTGCCGGGATCATTACGTGCGGCAGTTACAGGACAGCAGATGAAGACCTGCCGAGTGCCATTCATGCTATTAACAATTATTGGATAGCTTAGATTTACTTGTCCAGCGTGGAAGCTATTCCAGGAGTGATCAACACTTGTCTTGTGATAAGTTTCTAAATTCTGCTTCTTTAGTTCAATTTTTTTTACTTGTCTATTAGAATCTCACTCTAACTTTCCGTTATCATAGATTCGTAATACGGAACTTCAACCATCACCTGTAACTATACTGCTGAATGAAAACATCTATGTTATTTAAAGAATAGAAAACGTACTACATACAATAGTAATAAGAGATAGAAAATGTACTGTTTTTTCAACAATTCTGCATTAAAGTTACCTATAACTATGTGCACTGGCTAGAGGTTATCTGGCCGAGCCTTGTGGGCCAAAATGGGCCAGTAAATCATGATTACCAATAAGGTGACGTACGCATTGAATTTATTACATCTTCGCTATATCACTTCAGCCACGCACTTCTCGAATTTGAAGAAGTGTCGCCACTTTATCTGTCCCAAAAGCTGCCATGTAGATGTTACGTAGCCGGTTGCACTTCACAATGCGCTTTAATCGCTACCATTGGTGCCTCTTGCCCTTGTAGTGAATATAGTCCCCCAGCAGAGAAAGCGTAATCGCGCAAAGCGGTGAACCTTTCGTACTATCGAGGACTCTTAACGTCCAGGTCGCAACGTGTGGTCACGTGCGCGAAATACGTTGTTAGAAAGGCGGGGTAATCCCACAGTAGATGTAGCTGTAGCTGTAGCTATTGACGTCCAAGCACATCACGGATAGATTGTGCGCCACTGGGCAAAAAGAATAGTTCGTAGAGAATATATTCGTAACATCGGTCTCTAACCAACACCGGTAACTCTGTCGTTGGCTGAAAACGTCTATACTCTCAAAATGTATCATCTAGCCACAGGAGCTAGCCCTGAAATACATTGCATAGAATCGACCGTCCGAATAGAAATACTGACAATCGTAGGTAAGTACTGGCATTGGCCCATAAATTTCCTAAAGTTCGATACACTGGTAAATAATAGTGCTGATGCTCCCACCCCGCTCGAGTACGGTACCGATATTTTCTTAATTTCTAAGACTCGTAATAGCTAACGGCCCAAGTGAACTTCTGCATGTTCTTCCAACGATTCCAATGTAAGATCACTGTTGAACGCAAGTAATAATAATTTAGCAGTCCATAGAGATGCATTAGAAAAGTTAGTTAAAGGTGCATTCTAGAGTACGTGTTGTTTCTAAAGTATGCTCGTCAAAAAAACAATACCAGATAGACCTATCAGGACTAGAAGCGTCTATAAAAGCTCTAATATGTCCCGTGACGCGACCTACAGACCGTTGTTAGATCAATATGATATTAAGAATAAGTCTTATTTTTATCAAAAAGTTCGATATTTCTTTTGATGTTCTAATGTGTGCATTGAACATCTGTGTTTTATCATTTTTCCGAGCATCGTTAGTTTTCCGCACGAAAAGAGTGTGCCCTGTATGCAGGGCCTTAATCACGACAAAATTAACTAAAAATACTCCCGAATTGTGCAGTGGCAGTTAACTACAAAAGGCCATCTATTTAGATTTCGCAATGTGCCATTTACTTGTCGGTCTTCATTTAGGACATATTAAATCAAACCCATAAAGTTCAGACGTCTTAAAAAGGCATTTCTGGTCATAACAACAGTGAAAGCACAAAGACCACTAAGGTACCCAATTGCGATCGTGATGCCATTTTGCCGGCTACGGACGTGACATTGAGTCACATCTTGAACGTGCACACGCATATATATATAGTATATGTAATCCATGTAACTTTCCTATGCACTTGTCGTTCCGTACCTAAAGTACGCATGCCAAGTGTTAAAAGGGCACGTTGCATTCATGTGACAAGTGAATTGGGCTAATTTCGTAGATAAACTTCATAGCGACGACCCGCTAAAAGCTTCCAATGTACAGCCCTGGCTATGAAGTCCCGCCAATCCTTAATACAACAATGGGTCGCTGGTCTGCTCCGGACTTCATTCCTGGCGCATGCTAGCCTCAAACGGCGCAATCTGCCAAGATAGTGCCGTTAGCTTCATTACCCTTTGCGGACGCTTACGGCCGGTCACCTGGCTTGCTTGTTATTCATCAAATCGATTTGTTATTGTCGATAGCGTGGCTCACGTGTTCAGCTCTGCCGGTTCGAGACGCGCCTGGCAAATCTGAACGAGCCTTCACATCATCGCCAGCACAGCGCTTTCTATTGCAAGCTAAACTATCTCTGAAAGATAGAGGTTCGAAAACAAAGACAAACGGTCCGATGTGTCAGTTAGCGCCGTCTATACCTTGCGCCTTGCCCAGTACTTTGCCCACACAACAAGTCAACAAGCTTCAACTAAATTGAACTTCAACAATCCACATAGAGCTTTCTCGATGCAGCCTAGATGGCCTGAAGAGCCTGTAGTTCAAAAATATACCCATCTCTAGCGGCCTGCGGCTGCAGCTTTGCTTATAAACTTGTAGTGACGGTCATGTTTCAAATTCAGCACTACCTGGTTAGCACGAAACCAATATTTTGGCACCTAAAATTCAGAGGTTCGAGTCTTGGAAGTGCTTGATTTCGTTCATCGACTTCAATAAATAGATCAATGTAGACATAGAAGATACACAGACAATAGACAATGAAATCCTTTCTTGAAGTGTAAAGTCTACGAAGAAATCGATCAGTTTTTCAGGATGCCGAGGGTCGACACTCCAGGCCGCGCTAAGTGACTTCTTATTGGAAAACTTATAACGGATCTGGCAAGAGTAGGCCAAATACGGTACCGCATTTAGGGCCTTCCCGTTACTGGATATATTAATCTATACGCGCAATCTTATCAAAGATCTGATCTATATTTTTGAAGGTTTACTAGCGTTTTCTGAATAGGCGCGAGCGGTTATAGTAAAACGAAAATGTTCACTATCATCTAATAATGATATAACATACACAATATTGAGTTTGTGTTACTCGTAAGGTGCATCGCAGCTCATTGAGAGCTTATCGGCGTGCAGTTTCTTTCCATAAATCATGTCTCTTTTTGTATCCACGTATTTTTTTTTTAACATATTGTCTATTTTTTATTATTATTGCTAATTAACACAGCTGCTGCATCAGAGGCGGAAAGCATCAATATGGTCTCAGACATATACGTTAGCCGCAACATACGATTCTTCTGATCGGTCTGACTCCTTCCAAGATCTAATTGTATTTCACTAACAAACGAACTTTATCGGTCGAGCACCGCTTCTCTATTTCACTTGGTTTCGCCCAGCAGGAACGGCTAATAGAAAGAAAGCGACCGGCAGGCCAATCAGCATGCGCATACCCTATGATGAGTATGTATAGTGGTCGAGCGGACAGATTTTGTCAAGGTATAGTCTGTCAGTGATGGTCTAACCCTACCCGGAAGAGTAGCGTTGGCAATGCTATCTCTAGTCAAGTGCGGGCTAAACGCGGACTAGGCAAGTTCACCGACCTCACACAAGGTTACCCCTGAGAAATGAAACTGTCGAAATCCGAACTGAGCCCCTATCCAGTGATCAGAGTAGACACGCTGGTGCGATTTCGATCCGATAACATTTGCTTATCGATTCAATTGGGATTCGTAACGTTATTCAGTGACATTGCCGTTAGCTAAGGCCATGCGGGCTGTTCGAGGCAATCGAGGTCAAATTTTAAATAAGCTTAACCATTTGATACGTACGATTGATTACGTACCATAGCACGCTTTCATTATACGCCGATAACGATTGTCTCATCTCAACTACGGTCAGATATCAGTTTATCGGACGATATCATTTGAATACCCTTGTCATAGCTAGAAATTTATTTCTCGAGAGAATGACGAACAGTATTCGCTGTTAACGCCTATATATATATATATATATATATATATGGTAAAGACAATATTGTTTTTTCACAAAAATGAAAAGCTCTTAATCTTTTCATAACATTTTAAAACACATTAATAATCTTAGCTAATCTATTTGAGAGGAAGCAGAAAACAGTGTGTCGCTACATAGGCTAAAAAGTTATTTTCGTTGCGTAGCTCTGGTTAAAGGAAAAAAAACTTTATATATATATAAAGTTGCGTACACATCCTAGGTACGACCTAGGTACCTATATTACTATCAGTGTAGCAAGAACTAAGGATGGGAGCCAAAAGGCAGATTAATCGTTCACGCACTTTTGAAGACAATCGCCTATCAATGAACATTTGATTGATCTAAATAAAAAGGTGTTGCTATAGCTATTCAATTCCACTTATTAAGTGTGCGGCAGATGCACGTTTCTACGATGTATTTTCTAACTAGCCGCTCAAAAACACAGGAGAAGAAGCGCGCATCGGAAGCGCTGAAGACTAAACAGCGATTTTATTGGACACCTCCCGAAAGATACGAAAGCTCGACGTGATTTATCAATAATCAAACCCCTCAGGAGATACATGTAGTTCTATCTAGTTCATTCTCCTGCTCTAAATTTCGAGCGCGTGCATTACAGAAAGGCTTAGCACATCAG